GTTTTTCGAAAGGAGTTGGCACTCGAGTGCAAACAGTGGCCGTAGGTATTTGTGTATCTAGAGGCCATTGGATTCACGCCCTTTACCAATAGTCTTCTTCGTCGTAAGATCCTGAAATAGGCAATAACCAGGGAAGAATAAGACACAACAATTAAGATCGCAAGTGAGTTTACTAACAGAGATCAAATTAAAAGAAAATTGTGGTAAATTTAAAACAGATGTTAGTGAAAGGGACGTGGAAAGATGAACTGTGCCAGAGCCAAGAACAGGAGAAGTTGTGCCATTTGCTATGGTAACATCAGACAAAGATGCAGATGGGGAGAAATTAGCAAATAAGTTAGGGTTACCTGACATATGATTTGTCGCACCAGAGTCAATGACCCATTTTGATGTGGAGGAAATAAGACATTTACTGGTGTTACCAGACTCAGCGATGGCGGTAATTGGATTAGAGGACGATGCCGTCAATGCCTCTTGATATTGTTGGAACTTAGCAAATTCTTCCGCAGGAATTGTAACTAACTTACCAGCATTATCAGGAGTAAATGCAACATGGACAAACTGTGTTTTCTGACCTCTATTCAATAGCTTTCTACATTCTCGTTTTGTATGACCAGGCTTATGGCAATAATTGCAAAAAATAATATCTCCTAAATTTGACTTTGGAGCACTAGAACGTTGAGCGTTCRAAGTCGTGGAATTCCCTTGGTAGGTATTACCTCTRTTTGCATTTGTACTACGTCCAACCAAAGCACTATTAKATTGAGATGACAAGACGGGTYGTGACTTCTCAACTCGAAGTACTCGAGTGTATGCCTCCTCTAAAGCTGGAATTTCCGAACCAGAGAGTAATTGGTCTTTGGCCACATCAAATCTAGGTGGAAGACCAAGAAGAAAACTGATAACTGCTAGTTGTTCGCGTTGGGCAAGCCGAAATTTTGCATCATTACTATCTGGGAGTAATGCATTAAACTCTGCATAAATTCGTTTGTGTTCCATAAAGTAATTTGTAAGAGATTGGTCACCAAACTCAGGTTGGTAGAAGCGCTTGCAGATTTCAAATATTCGACTAACATTTCCTTTTCCAGAATAAAGGAATTCTAAATATTTAAGTAACTCTTTAACATACTCACATTCATTGACCAAGCCAATAATGTCACCCTCGATCGAATTCTTGATCTGCAGAACCAGTCGAACATCATCCCGCAACCAAGCTTTCTTGCTCTCATCCTTAGGCGGATCCTCAGTTATGTGATCGTCCATATCAATACTTCGCAAAAAAAGACGAACATTGATTTTCCATGAAGAATAGTTTGATCCATTCAACTTGTGTTCTGTGATTTTTGATATCATTGGGATCACCTCAGAAGTTATGATTGATTTCTTCTCAGCCATAACAAACAAGCGAACTTATTTGAACAAAACGACAGAACCAGACCAAACCACTCGAACCAAACAAAACAGATGAATCAAACGGTTGGAACCAAACCGGATTAGGTGTTTTCTGAAACCAGAAACCCCAAGTGCTCCCCCACGACAACCAGAGGGGTAAAGGCGATTGGCGGTCACGGAAGCGCACCACGACGAAGGTGCGAAGGGCGGCGAGACGAAACCCACGAATAGCAATTGGAAAAATAACTGGCAAATCAGCAAACGGCGGTCGGCGGTGGTCGGCGGCAGCGATGGTGGTGTTGGATAGCAATGAACAAAAACCCTAAGGCACAAAACCCTAATGGACACAAAACCCTAATGGACACAAAACCCTAATGGGCGCAAAACCCTAATGGGCATCAAAACCCTAATGGGCAAGAAACCTAAAAACCTAGAGCTCTGATACCATGTAGAGACTAAGGTTGGAGAGAATCCAATGTAATGTATTCTCATTATTAAAGTCTATATATATAGACAAATATACGAGGTTGACCTAATCCTATAAGGAGAAGGTAAATGACAAATTAATATTAATACAAGAATATAAAATATACTAATATATACTCTAACACCTATAAAGATTCTATAATTTATCTCTAACCAATACCTCACAAACTAGCACAGAAGCAAGTTTGACACAAAAATCTTTCCGTCTTGAAAAGGACACCACCTTTTCCATCAAAGCCCAACAATCCCTGCTATGAACCTAAGGCATCCCAAAGAGCTAAAAAAACGGTCCCAAATATCCCGGGCAAATTGACAACACCCTAAAATGTGGTCTAGATCCTCTGAGGCTTGCTTGCAAAGTACACAACATTGCAGCCTCAAAAAAAAATTAAGAACGTATTTGAATACGATCTAACGTGTTGGCTTTCACGTGTAAAACTTGCCCCACAAGATCTGTTTTTTTATCTTTTTTTGGAATTTTCACCTTCTAGAAGGAAGCAAACAGTGGGTCTGACGGGGGAAGAAAGGGATAACTCAACAAGTGAAAGAAAGAATTACAAGAAAGGACATCCCTATGCAAAAGAAGCACCGTAGAAACTTCCAAAAAGTCTCCCTATTTGTCAAGGGACGACTAAGACCCAAGGAAATAGAATACTCACAACCACTTCAGTCCACCACAGAGGTCATAGAATGCAACCTAATATCGGAAAGGTGATACAAGCGAGGGAATAATGAACAAGGGGTTTTATCACCCACCCCATGGTCCTCCTAGAAGTAGGAATCAAGCCCTTCCCCCAGCAATACAACTTGGGGAGAAGAAAATGGAAAAATATAAGATACATCCTTCGAGGAATTAGTAGCACCCACCACCTAAGACCCTGTCAAAAGGATGAGACCCGTATTTGCTCACGATAATCCTTCGCCACAAGACAATAAGCTCCTGAAAGAACCGCCACAACCATTTAGCCAATAACGCATCTTCCCTCCCCCATACTGAGAGATTTTCTCCAAGCTCTTGCTCACTAACATGACATCAAGCCTAGAAGGGACAGAAAGCATGTAGGAATACCTCTTAAAACTGCTTGAATAAGCATAAGTTTCTCTCCTCCCGAGAAAAAAGCTTTTTCCATAAGGACATACATTTTTTAATTTATTTTAAATCTAAAGCCAAAATGACACTCATGGGATTATTCTCCAACCCTAAATAAGAAGACAGTAAATCATGCACTTCGCATCCAATCAAGGAGGCCTAAGAGAGCAGCTTGGAAGAATCACAATTAACACCCAAAAGCTATGAAGCACGAACACTCCATTTTGGACAGAGTCCGTGTCAGACATGTGTTGGACACAAATACGCCCGAACACACTCCGGACATGTGTCTGACACACCAATTTAAGTGTTCGATTTTTTATTATTATTTTTTATTTTCGGACATGGCTGTGACACGGTTGTTGATTTAAGCCTAGGAAAAAGCCTCGCCCATCCGAGAGAGTAGCTGCTGCCACCACCCGCCTTTGCTGCAGCCACCATCAGAGTTTTGCCATGGACACCGAAGCCAACTTGCCGCCAGGACGAAGGAGAAAAAGTAGAAGACCTAGAAGAAAAGCGATAGTAGAAAACAGAAAAAGAAGTATGAGTAGAGTCGGAAGAATGCCACGGAGAAAATAGAAAAAAATGAGAATGGGAAGAAGAAAAGAGAAGATGGAGAAATGCTAGCATTAAAGAAGCATTAATGACTGCATGATTGACAGATGTCAAGCCTTTCAATCCCCCATGATTGACAGATGATAGTCTCTCTTTAAAATAAATATATAGGTCTTTTAATTTTCTTTCTAGACTAATAAATCACATTATTTAAAGCTTATTTAGTTTTTAAGCATAATTTATTTAATATTTTTATGTTTTAAAAGTTGCTGATAATATTTACTTAATATTTTATAGAGTAGATTTTGTACTATTATCATTAATTTACCAACAAAATGTTCCATGTCTATAGTTAATTTAAATAAAAATTACTACTTTAATACATATACATACATTATCTAAAATTTTCTTAAAAAAACTAACGTGTCCCCGACGTGTCCGTGTCCTATATTTTTAGAAGTTGGCATATCGCCGTGTCTGTGCCGTGTCATGTCTGTGTCTCGTGTCTCGTGTCCGTGCTTCTTAGCCCAAAAGTGAACATTTGCCTCAAGGAATCTTGAGCCCTGAAATGGACTCAAGAAATAGCAAGCTATTTAGATTAAAAAGATGAGTTTTTCTACTCAGAGTATCATTTGCAAACAGAAGGTGAGATAGACAAGATCTCTCTCTCCCCACATGGAATCCACCTAAAGCCCCTTTTTCCACTCCAGAATAGACCAACTTGCCCAGAATATCCACAAGGATGAAAAGAAAAGGAGAAAGAGGATCACCTTATCTCAGATCCATCAAAGCTCGAATTTTACCCCTAGGTCTCCCATTTACAAAGATTGAGGACTTTACAGTTCCAAATCCAAGACCTCCATTTGAGACCGAAGTGTTTCTTTCACAAACTCTTGTCCAAGAAACCCCAGTCTAAGTGATTGTACGCTTTCTCGAAATCTATCTTGTAGATGACCCCTTGTTTTCGTTTCTAGTAATCCTTGATCCAAGATTTATCTTCCAGTTCCAACAGTAAAGGCTCAATCCTCAATAGCTTCATTGGCCATGAGCACTTGATCCAAGATTTGTCTCCCAGCAATAAAGGCTCCTTGGATTTTAGAAATGGTGCTTGGGAGGATCTTTCTAACCCTATCAGCTAAGGTCTTAGCAACGATCTTATATAAACTGGGGATGAGACTAATAGGTCTATATTTTTTCACCCCATTAGCCTTCTCTTTTTTGGAGATTAAATACACGTAGGTCTCATTCATGAAGGATTAATCACCCCTCTTTCATATAACACCCAAAAAAACTTCATTGAATCCTAGTTAACCTTCTCCCAATTATCCTGGTATAAAGTCATGGTGAAACCATCGGGATATTTCTGTCAAAACCTAGGTATACTTGTAAAAGTTTTGTATACTGCAAAAAAGGCCAACACAAATTCAAATGCCCCCCGAATTTAAACAAAGCCTTGCTAATTGGTGAATATGATAACCTGGGAAAAACACAATTAAACCCTCTGCTTTTGACACAGTGTCCTTCCCAGGGAGCATTGGACTTGATGGTGCTACCTCCTGTTCCTTTTGAAGATCACCCTCTTCATCCATTCCTTCCTCCACAATGGCCAAGAAATCTTCTGCTCTAACTAAATTTCCAGCAGATCCGATAAGAGCCTGATTCTGAGGACTGCGTTTAGCATATTGTTCAAGAAAAGGTTCAGCTTCACTAAGATAGGTAGCTGATGACAGTTGTCTATTTCCATACTTCCTCCTCAAGTATACAGCCCTATCACATTAAAAGTATATCGTCAGCTTTATTAACTTTTCCTAGGAAGTACCTACACTTCAAGTGGAACAAGAAAGCAGCCCAAGAACTAACTTACCATTCATCAAGCATCTTGCTGAGCTCCCTTTGTTTTCCAACTGAAGTACCCCACAGCTTCATTTGCCTACATTTTAAAAATAAAGAACCGCTTCACTTGAGAAACATGCTGAATGCAAATAATATATATATATATATATATATATTTGTTGTTTGGAACAAGAAACAACTTTAGATGAAGAACAAATATATATATAGGCAACAACTCAGTTCGTGAATAAAATATACAGAAGATAAAGGCAACAAACCCTCAAACAAGATCAAAGGAGCAACAGAATGAATTTCCAATCGAAATCAATGGTAGTACTAGTGTAACTTAAAGTGTTTAGACAAAATACAGTAATATACACTCAAGAAGAAAGAAGTATTTTCTCAAAAAGATCTTTTAAGGCCCTTTCAACATTGTTAAAAAACTTTGTTGCGTTTACCAGGTGCAAATAAAGTCCCACATTGATTAGGGAAGAGAGTGATCCATGGTATATAGATGAGGACAAATGTCTCCATTAGAATAAGGTCTTTTGGGTGAAACTAAAAGCAAGGTCGTGAGAATTATGCCCAAAGCGGATAATATCATACTAGTATAAAGACACTTCGGATACTTAGGGTACCCGTTGTCCTTAACACACTTCCTATTAATTTCAATTAAAATTTCTCAAATATCAGCACAGAAACATTCCACCCAAAATACAGGACTTGGAGATTCCTCACCCAAAAAAACCAGCTTTGGAGGAAGCTTATCATGGCAAAATATGGTGAAGCCCAACCTGATACTTGGCCAGCCACCATCTCCAGCGCTTATAAAGGTCCATCGAAAGCAATTCTCCACCAAAACAACATTATCAAAGAAGTTGCAATATGCAAAGTGGGGGAACACAGCTCTATCAGCTTCTGGCATCATGGATGGCTCACATATAAAAATCTTGCAGCAGATTTCCCTTATCTTTATGCTATGTCCACCAACAAAAATGAAAGAATAGCATATCTATGGTTCAAAGCCATTCACTCTTGGGACTACACTTTCAGGTGGTCTTTAAAGGATGATGAGATAGAGGAATGGCTGAATCTTTCACATCAGCTCTCCAACAAATTGGTCTCCAGAAAAGGGTTTCCCTTTGATTTTCGGTTCAGAATAGCTTCTGCATTTAATTGTTGCAAGACAGTAGGACCAATATTGTCTATTTCCTTATCAATGTCCACGACAGAGTGAGAGTACGGCTGTCTATATAATCTGACCAAGTGAAATCTAACCAAGTGTAGAAGCCGTTTGATTGACATTGTAACTCCCCTGGATTGGTTCCCCATCTTTTGTAATCTCATCCATCAAAGTGTTTCTTCTAAAAAAAAATTACATTGAAAGATATATGTACCAAACAAGCATATTGCTTGCGCTTGGCTCAAGATATCCTCCTTTCTTTAAAGTTTTATACTCAATTGAGTGAAAACACCCTTTATCAAGGCTACAATGCCAAATATTTGTATCATGAGAACTAAAAAGTCACTAAGGAGGAAATCCCAATTTGTCTTAACACTTTTTTGTCGTTTAAAACCTCCTAAAGTTGAAAGTCCAACTCCAGTTCTCTTTATTCCAAATCTCCTTGTTCTTTCATTTTTATCTCTAAGATAGAGAGAAAGTCTAGGAAAAGCTGCGAATATAAGAGTGATTAGGAGAAGAAAAGAAGGGGGAAAAAAGAGGAAAAAGAAGAGGGAAAGAATGAAGGGAAAAATAAAAGGGTATATGAGAGGAAAAAGAGAATACAGTGAGAGAAAACACGGAAAAAAAGAAGAAATGAGTACGTATGGAAGTTTCAGGTCTTGTTTGTATTGGTTTTGAAGATTTTGTTTTGATAATGAATCTGATGGTCCTAGATCTACTGCCTTTATTTAAAGCTGTCGTTACTAGTTATGATTATGGTTCTCAAATAGTTCCTCCACGAAGTTCCTCGGTCAAATTTCCAGGAAGATCGTTCAAGGTAAATGGATAAGGGTTGCACTTTATGAGCGAGCTGGTTGATGATCAAGTGGGAAGGAAAATGGCTTGGCTTTTTCTTTGAAGATTACGGCGTGAAGAAATTGATGGTTCAGGAGATATGATCTTTCATTAGTGTTGCTGTTGTTTGTGATGTTTGGATTATGTTTGATGTTGCTTTGTCTTGGTGCAGTCTTAAGCATTGTTGATGTCGGTTGCTGACATTTTAGACACATTTTCTCTTTGGTGTAGGTGTTATAGTTTGTTGTTTATAATTTGCTAAGTAGTCTTTAGACTGTCAAAAGTTCGTCGGTAGGTATTGCCTTGTCAAATTTACTGGTTGCAGTTCTAGCTGAAGGTTTTTGGTTTGTTTAGCTCTATAGACTGCATATTCTTGGTTGTGGTTTGTTATCTTGTTAGTTGTTCCTAGTTGTCATTTCATCACTGAAAATTTTTGATTCTATGAAGAAAAAAAGGTGATTCAGTTTCACCAATCAATCCAGAAACTGATCTTGCATCTGTCCATCCCTCATTTCTAAAAGCAAATTCTCTTGAACGTTGTTTTCATCTTTGAGATGATATGCCACAGACTTCTAGAGCTTCTGCAATAGAACTTTAGAAAACCGCCTATTATTATCTTCAAGTTCGTATTCACTAAATATAACCCTATGCAGAATAGTTTTACTGATTTTGTTTACTAAATATATCTTCAAGTTCATATTCTGTCTCTTTGCATATATTTATTATGGATAAATGCTGTCAAATCAATTATTTTGGAAATTCGGTTCAAAGGATACGAAAAATTTTTTTAAGGCAAGCTTAGGTGTTGGCAGGAGCAGTTTGATTCAACAAAATACAAGACTTCTCCATGGTGTTCTCTTCTCTCTAATTTGTTTGATGATTACCCTTTTAATATAATATGTACTAGTTGGGAATCAGTATGCATTTATATCCTTTCCATGGCAGGTTTTTGCTTTCTTTCTTATTTTTCACTTACTGGAGTTTGTTTCCTTGAACAATTATGTATCATATCTTGTTCCAAAAAATTAGTCTTACTTATTTGTTCAGAATACTGCAGCAAATTTGATGTCTCCACGATCCACAAAGGAAGAGATAATACCTACAAATTAAATTGCCTAGGAAAAGTAATTTCTACTACCTACAAACTGCAAGGAGACAGGTGGTGCAGGCAAGTCATTTAACCTATTCATAGTTTTTTACCTCTTAATGAGTCTCCATGAGGACAACCAAAATTTAATAGATTGTTGTAGAGAGAACTGAAACAGGAAATAAAACATCCATGTATGCAACCAAAAATTAATCTAGTAGTCATAAACTGAAAAAAAAGATTTTCACGTTTGCAACCCGGCTGTGTATTTGAAGTAACCGAGTGGGAAAGTGAAGGAAAATGACCCCCATTCATCCAATTTTCACCGTGCATAACATTAGAGGTCTACCGTTTTCCTCTCAACTGTAGATTCATTTTCTAAATTTATATGGAAAAACTTTGACATGCCCATTCTCGTTTTTAAAGCAACAAATCAATTAATCTTACCTCAAGTAATAGGCCTTGTATGCAGCTGGACCTTCTTTGAAGAGAATTGACAAGCCATTGCGAATCAAAAAAGTCCGTAACTACGAGACAAATATAAGAAGAGTTCAGACTTTTTTTTTTGGAACAAAATACAAACTTTTCATTGATGAAATGAAAAGGAACAATAATTGTTAAGGGATACAAACTCTCGAAAGAGTGAAAAAGAAACGTAAAGACAAAAATACAGGATCTAAACAACAAAATTACAAGGCCAAGAGTTCAGACTATTTGATTAAGACTAGTTTGGTAATAGCAATCACGAAAAAAAATATACATAAATAGTTTATTTTTTAGTCTAGAAATCCCTTGACCTCTCCAAATTCACTTAATTTCAACCTAACCCTACACCTTATGATACTGAGAAACTTGTTAATATAACATCTCAGATTCCAGACCTCATGATTCTGAATTAAATTAAAGAGCCATGAAAAAATATATATATATAAATAATTTTTTGAATCCAGAAATCCCTCAACCTCCACATTCACTTAATTTTAACCTAACCCTACAACTTGTGATAATGAGAACTTGTTACTATAATATCTCATATTCCATAACTCAGGATTCTTTATTAAATAAATGAGCCACGAAAAGAATATACATAAATGTTTTTCTTATAATCCAGAAGGCAGAAACCTCTCGACCTCTCCACAATTCACTTAATTACAACCTAACCCTACAACTTGTGATACCGAGAAACTTGTTCATATAGTATCTCGGATTCCAAACTATTGGAGTATTATTGTAAATAGCTAACTAATTAGTTATTTAGTTAGCTTTCAGTTATACTCATATTTCAGTTGTAAATCTTCAATTTAAGCAAGCTTGTACTTTCTCAAATAAATGAGAATCTAATAAATGAGAAAGTTAGTTTACACATTAGTGTTGACTCTAATACAAACCTCGGGATTCTTGATTAGATAAAAGAGGCTTGCATCAATTAAAGAGGAGAGAAGCATCCCAAGTATTAATCGACTAAGGCTCGAGAATTAAAATAGAAAAAGCAGAATTAAACCAAAGATAAATATCAGATAACCAAATTGTGAACGAAACTGGCCGATATGGAATGAACCTGGAAGGAACATAACCTACAACTATGTACTGCTCTCGAGTGAGGTGAATTAATTCTTTCATCTACTTTTACAATTACGTACTGCTCTTGGAAGCCCTTCTTTAGCTAGGGCTTCCCTGCTGGGCTTTTGTTTTTTGTATGCCCGCATTTTTGTTTTGTTTTTCATTTATCTTAATGATGAAAAGTGCAGTTTCCTATATAAAAAAAATACTTAAAATAGACAAATTAAAGCAAGAATACCTTATATGTAAGAAATTTTAGTTTGATCATCAGATTTGCATCTTCATCAGCAAGTCCATCTCTTCCCAAGATGCCATTGCCTTCAACCTCCATCAAATTGCTTTTGCTTTTCATGATTTCAGCAGCCTTGTCCTTGTTTGCTTTGAATAAATTAATGTCAACAAAAAATCCTGGGAACGCATGAAGCTGTGAGCCAAAAAGTATTTTATACAGTTCAAGACAGTTGAAAAGCTCGAAACAGCATACCTTTCTTATTTATTATTTATTTTCTTTTTCTTTTTCAAAAAACAACGTTTTACTAAATAAGGCTCTTGCAAAATGGGTTGGAGATTTTACGATGAATTTTCAACTCTTTGGTGAGGTGGTGAAAAGTATTCATTGTCTTGAACCTTTTGGCTGGCATATGAAAATTAAAAAGAATGACTGTTCGAGAATTTCTTCAATTAGCATATCCAGGCAATGGAAACTTGTGGAAGATTTAAGCGAATTCTTTTTTGGCATGATACATTGGGGGATTCTCCTCTTAAACTTACCTTTCCACACATTTGTCAGGTGGTTTCACTACCTAAAGGTTCTGTCTTTTTATCATTGGGATTCTTCACTTTGCACTTGGAAGATTGAGACTGGAAGGAATTTAAAAAAGGATGAATTGGCTGACTTTATCCTTCTGTTGGCTAGGCTGGATGTGGCTTCTTTAATAAACAGGGACGATGCTAAAAAATGGAGTATTGATTCTTCGGGTGCTCTCTCTGTTAGTTCTTTATCCAAACATTTGTCACTCTTCCCACTTCAAAAACAGCTGTTCTCGGCTATTTGGAAGTAAAAAATTCAAAAGAAGGTCAATATTCCTATATGGATTTTGTATTACTCTGGTTTAAACACAGCAAAGTAAAGAAACAAAAACGAAATATCAAACTAATTATGAACAAACTGAGTATATCCAAGCATTTATGATGTAGACTCTTTAAACTGGCATTCTTTGAGAAAAAAAAAAAAGGAACGGTTGCTCAAGATGTCCATGGAACAATATATCCAAGCATTGGAGAAATGTTCAACATCTCTCTTCTATCAAGGTACACAATGGTATGAGATCCCATTTTTCGCTTGATTTGTGGTTTAGTGATTTGGTGTTTAAAGATCGTTTTCCCCATCTTTTTGCTGTGGCTAAGCTTCCCCATAGTGCTGTTTGTGAAAATTGGGATGGCTCCTCTTCTTCTTGCGTCATTGCATTTTGAAGAAACCTTAAAAGATTCAGAGATCGAGGATTATTTATCCATTTTGTCAACTTTGAGCTTGGTGTCTCTCTCAACAGAAAAAGATAAATTGTTATGGAATCCCGAAGATTCAAAGTTTTTTTCTGTAAAATCTTTATAAGAGGCCCTTGGAAGTAGGATTCCTCTACCTAAATTTCTGATCTCGGCCCTCTGGAAGAACAGTTGTCCAAGGAAGGCTCAATATTATGTCCTGGATCCTCTTGAATGGTAAGTTGAACACGGCGGAATCTTTGCAACAGAAGCTCCCCAAATTCTCATTGCAGACCTATATTTGCTGCTTAAGCTCTTTATTCAGGATCACTTATTCTTTCATTGTTCATTTAGCTCGAGGTGTTGGTGGTCCCCTCTAAATGTTTTCAATTTATCTTGGGTTTTTTCGCTGGCTGTTAACTCAAATTTGCAGCAGTTATTTCATCTTTCTTTTCCCCTTTCAACAGCTTGGTCTGGGTTTGTGATGGATTTGTGCGGTTGAGGCCTTACTTTCAGAGATTTGGTTGGAAAGGAATCGATGAATTTTCCTCACCAATAGTAGGGAGTCGTCCTAATGTTTTGAGATTGCAAAGTTTAAAGCATCCCTTTGGTGTTCCCTCTCGGCTTTATTCTCGAATTATTCTCCTAGCATCATATGTGGTGCTTGAGAAGCTTTTATTTATCCTTAGCTTATGACTCTTTGTATGTTTCTTTTTGTATTTCGATCTTCTTTCACTCTTTTTTGAGTTTGTATCTTTAAACATTTCTGATTTTTTCCATCTATCAATGAAAATCTTGTTTCTTGTTAAAAAAAAATAAAAAAGACCAAGTACAGAATCAGATTTATGAATCATGACCATCATGTACAAAAATGTAACGAATGCTTACAAGTACTTTGAATCGAAGTAGTTGAAATCTAAAGAAAAATAAATTTCACATTTTTGAAAAGTTGGCTATTACCTCGATATAGTGGCCACAAACCTGGCTTGTGCCTGAAACATGTCAACATATTTCATTTTATTAATAAAAATACAACAATAACTTAACAATACCAGCAAAAACAATTATTTTAAACACTGTAGAGTGCAGGTCCAAGCAGGACCTCATTTCTTTTTGATATCGCCGAAAAGCAGAGTCGCTGTGAACATGAATGACCATCTTATAGAAAAGGTCGTCATTTGATATAGAACCAACTTTGTGGAAATTATGATAACATTTGAAGGCAGCTGGTAGACGTTTTTCTCTCATTAGACGAATCATTTCCTGGACATATTTGAGGTACTTCATGAGCAATTCATATAGACTAGAGTGAACATAAAGTTTCAAGATGCAAAAAGAACCTATACGTGAAGCAGTGGTAAAGAAAATACAAAATATTTCTAAAATCTGGACTGGAGCAGATAATGTGACATTTATATTAAGAGAAAACACAAATACTTAATAAAATTCATTTTCCTAACACGAAGTAACAATTAACTCGCCTGTAATTTGGAGGTTGAAAAATCAGTCGGGCTGGTTTGTAAGAATTTTGATAAAACAGATCTGTCTGCAGTTCTTGAGTGGGAATCACCCGACCAGTCTGAATGGTCAGGGCAGAAAGAACTACCAACGTTTTGAAGAAGTGCCTTTATTTGCTGCAGTTGAATTTCAACAGAAGCAGAGATATAGTAAAAAAGGTGAAAGCTTAACAGGTGAAAATCATTCCATTTCTGTTCTAAAAATACATAAAGCGTAAAATTAACATTCAAAACAATCATACCATCGTATTTCATGCTAAGGAATTTTTGTTACCTGTTTTTCATCTGACCTATTTGCAGCACAAATTTCCCTCAGGCTTCGTCCCAAATCAAGTCCACCTAAGATGAAACATGGTATAAACAAAAACTAAGGATGCCAATGGAGACGGATTTAAAAAGAGAAAATAACAGCTAAACACCAGACCTCCTTCCTCATCTGGCAGAGAAGGAAATTCTTCCAATACTTTCTCCATGTGTTTTGAACTCTCATGGCTCACAATACGGGCCACGAGACCCTCAAGAATTTCACCCTGCACTTTTATGTGGTCTTTTGAGCCTGCACACCAGTTCCAGTTGACAATCATTATAGAACTTCTAAACTGACAACAAAAAGTGAGAAAACACTGCAGGGTCCAGCAAAGGAGAAGTGGGAACAACTTATTAATATTCATGGCTACAAGTCATGGAAGAATAGAACATATGTAAAGCAAAGAGACCCATCTTCCAGTTTCATGGATGGATTGGTTGAGAAGCAAAAAATAAAAAATAAAAACAATAGAGAAGGTATCATAAGAGATGATTTAGTGGATAGCATACTAACTTTGACAAAAAGCCTCAAAAGCAAACAGAGCCAATGTAGGAGCATCAAATTCGGAAAAAGACGACACGCAGCTGATTACTGTACCTGGTAACTACTTTAAGTTTAATCTGACAAAATCAGTACCTGGTACAGATATTTCTGCAACTTCATCAAGAGCCTTACATACTGATGTTGCAGTTCCTTCTTCACAAAGGGCATCAAAGGCAGCAAAAAATGATGTCACTGATTTCCTTCAACAATTATAAAAGAAAAAAATCAGGAGCCTGAATATATATATATATTTTTATGAACAAGATACTAACTTCTCATTTAAATAATGAAAAGAAACAAAATTGTTCAAATGATACAAACTCGAGAGAGTGAAAATGAAAGACAAGCAAAAAATAAAAACAAAAAGGATTAACAATGATAAATAAAGACACTCCAATTGGAACAAATAAGACTAGGGGAGTAATTTCCAAACAAAGCCTGAATATATATTTATAATATATATATATATTTTTTTTACAGGACACAAGCCATTTTTCTAACTACATTAAGTAAGACGCTACAAGATTTAAAAAAAGAAAAAGTAAAAATAAAATTATTTCAAATTAGATCATCCAACAATTTAAAAAGAAAAATCACTTGAGCACTTGAGACACATAATCAAAATCCAAGTTGCACAAAAGTAAACAAGAAACGGTAAGAACTCTAGATGATATAACACATCTAATAAATCACTAAACATTAATGACGAATAAAATAACTCTCAGATAATTCATCATCTGGCAATTTTGTTGCTGGCTGCCAATAAGACTGGCAATCTTATAAAATCTTCAATAATCAGCCACTTGATTGGGACAAAACAAGATAGATAGATGATAAACCACAGGTTGATGTAGCATTTCAATGTCAAATTCTGAGAAGGATAAAACATTGATAAGTTCAGCAACTGTGGAGTTATCAATACTTTCTTGGGACAGAAACTCTTCATCCACTTTTCCATGTCATGCAAAACATTAGAAATTACATTTATTAAAATGTCATTGTCTTTGATCATAAAAAATTTGTAACCAAGATGTAGACACTGTCTCTCAAAACAAAATTGTTCATACCATGTAAATTAAATGAAATTATGGACCATCACCTGCTTGAGAATAACCAAACATGATTAGTTGGCAAGCGCCATTCTCTACAAAAAACTATTATTTCTGCAGTTGAGTAGAACTTTGGCTTTCCATTGCCTAGATCAGTAACTGCTGTAACTACCACTGCAAAAGATGAAAAAGCACATTGTTTAAAACCTAATGCAATATCCTGACAGAAAGAAGCACACAATATAAAAATATACGAAGCGAAAAAACATTAACTTCACAGAAACATAAATTACTAACGAGTAAAAAAAGAATACAAGTCTTTTTAATTGGACTGCAAGAATGATCAAGAAACTTCTATTATGGCTGTGTAACTTTTATGTGTTAGAAGTTTCTCAGCAAGGAAGGCCGAACGTCAAATGAGAGCAATCTCAAGATCTAAACAAGCTATGGTTGTGTAAGATTCTGATCTTCGTCTTCAAAGACACAAGCAGGGCTTGGATTGTTCTTATGCTGAAGTTGTTAAAGGTCTCGGTTCTATAAAGCCTTCTTCTTCCATGGGCATTAGAATCGAGAACAGTTTTGGAGGTGAAGGTAACTTAGTCTGCAACAAAGAACGGGAGATGGCTGCATCCAAGTCAAAGCAGGCTCAATCAGCAGTCAAACGCGCCAAGGGGGTTCAATGGTTCAAAAAAGAATCTGAGGTGTTGAGTTTAGATTGGAATAATGTAATGGTTTGTTTCCGGATGTTGCGCTCACGATGTGAATGGAGCAAGATTTCTTCCACACTTGAAGCCAAATATTCTCAACCTTGCGAGCTCAATTCTTTCATGGTAGACAAAGCTTTATTCAAGTTCAGTAATGGCAGATTATTAAGTTCAAATGAATTATCAGGCAGTTGGCGGCAGGTGGATGGTTTTAGTCTCAAAATAGAAAGGTGGTGTATTTTTTTTTTTTTTTGATAGGAAACTGCACTTTTCATTAAGATAAATGAAAAAGAGAACAAAAACACGGGCATACAAAAACAAAAGCCCAGCAGGCGAAGCCCTAGTTAAGGAAGGGCTTCCAATCCAAAAGAATATGACCTAACTGATCATTACAAAACAACTTCGAAACAAAGCCGCACAAAGAAACATTAACTCTAATGAGGTCCCAAATTGTATCGCTATCTCTCTCCACCCCCTAAAAATTCTGTTGGTCCTTTCCAACAAAATTCCCCACAAAATAACAAAGAAACAAGCTTGCCACAAAAACCTCCCTTTCTCGCGAAAAGGAGAAGACAAAAACACTCCCTCCACCATAGCCCCCAATCTCTATGACGGACCCAAGAAACATCGAACATCTCAAAGAATCGACTCCAAATCTTCGGGGAAAAGATGCAATGCCATAAGATATGACCAAGATCCTCAGAGTCTTGTTTGCAAAGAACACACCATTGTGGCCCCAAACAGGAAGAAGAATGCTTCTGAATTCGATCCATGGTGTTGATTTTCCCAAGTAAGACCTGCCACACGAAAAATTTAATCTTCTTTGGAATTTTGACTTTCCAAAAGGAGGCAAATACAGGGGCAACTGGGAAAAGATCAGGGGAGCATAAAATTTTAAAGAAGGAGCTACAAGAGAAACCTCTAGAAGGATTAGGGGGCCAAACATGAACATCCTTTCTATCCTAAAAGAAAGGGACTTCAGAGAGAAGATGAAGTAACTCACTCACTTCCCGAGACTCTCTGTCAGTTAAAGACCGACTGAGACCTAAGGAAATAGATAGCCCTGTCTCCCCAACATCCAACACCGAGGCCACCGAATGCAACTTCCTGTCCGATAAAAGATAAAGACGAGGAAATAAAGAACAAAGAGGCTTATCTCCCACCCAATGGTCCTCCCAAAAGTAAGTGTCATGACAATCCCCAACCACGCAAAACAGACAATCCCCAACCACGCAAGACAAAAAATGGGAGAAGGGAGGAGAGCCGGAGGAAATAGCCTTCCAGGGGTTACTAGCGCAAACCTTGTGCCCTTTGTCTGAAACACAATCAATGGGGTGCGGCCTATACTTACTCACGATAATCCTCCGCCATAGAGCTCTAGGATCTTGGAAAACCCTCCATAGCCATTTAGCCAATTCCCTCCATAGCCATTTAGCCAAAAGCGCATTGTTCCAAAGCCTCAAGTTCCCAATGCCAAGACCGCCTGCCTCTAACGATCTGGAAACCATACCCAACTAGCTAAGTGAGGTCCACCACCCTCATTCACCCCTCCCACAGAAAATCTTCCATAATTTTTTCCAAACTCTTACAAACAGCCACGAGTGCTTTAAAAAGAGAGAAAAAATACAACAGAATCCCACTTAAAGTCGCTTGAATGAGCATTAACCTTCCTCCTTTAGAGAAAAAACCTTTTTTTCCACAAGGACAGACGTTTCTGCATCTTTTCCAGCACGAGGGCCCAAAAAGAAATAGCCTTAGGATTATGCCCCAGAGGAAGACCTAAATAAGAAGCCGGGAAATTACAAACTTCACAACCAACCATGGAAACCCAGCGAAGAAGTTTGGAGGAGTCACAATTAATACCCAAAAGCGAACTCTTGCTTCAATTGATCTTAAGCCCCAAGATAACCTCAAAAAAGGACAGAAAGTTGTTCAAGTTATTAAAAGAGACTTCCTTCCCCGAACAGAAAAGGGCGTATCATCGGCAAATTGAAGGATATAAAGGTCGTGTATTGAAAACATAACAGACCAGATTTCATATTAGGGTATGGAGTTGGATTACAATCAAAGATTTTCCTCTTTCGTTTTGGAATTGTGGTTGCTTTGAAGCCATCGCTAGATATTGCGGAGGTCTTTTGGCCATTTCTACTAGAACTTTGAATATGTTGGATGTTTCAGAAACTATTATTCAAGTTGAACAGAATCAATGTGGACTCCTGCTAGCTATTGTTGAATTAACTCATAAGGAACTTGGATCTTTTGTTGTTCGAATTTCCCAATGTCAAAGCTCAGTTCATTATAGGAGATTTTCTTCCTCTTTTGATCTTCGTAATCTTTCGAATCCTCTAAACATTGCTAGATATCAGTCAGTTATGGAAGTTGAAAGATCATTTCCTCTTGGTTTGATGTTTATTCAAATAGGAGGCAGAATTCTGTAATCCATGAACCCTATAAAGCTGTTGGAATTCCTGCAGGGGACGGTCAGCATCCTGTCCTTAATTGCCAGCTGGCCAATAATGGTGATTTCGATAACTTAGCAGCCAACAGTAATGAATAAATCAATGAGCCATCTCTTGATTGTATTTTGCAGAAATCGAAAGGTTTTGTTGAGTCCTTTGAAACTGTTGGAATTTCCTGCATGGGACTGCCAGCTCCCTATCATTAATTGCCAGCTGGTTGGTAAATGGTGATACCAACAATTTAGCAGCCAACATTAATGAAGCAATCAAAGAGCCACCTCTTGAATTTAATTTTTAGAAATCGAAAGGTTTTTCCTTTCCCTTAGTGGCTAAGAAGTTAAACGGTCTCATGGAACCTTTGCCTTTATTCTATACAAGGAAAAAGAAAAGACGTTGCCAATTAATAGCATGGAAAGAATTAATTCGGCTGAGAAATTGCAATCAAATTTATTGGAGGCCCTTAGTGATGACAGAGTAACGCATTCTGTTTTGGTTCCTTCTCCAAATATTAACGGCGACCTTCCTTCTTCTCTTTCACATGGATTAATTAATTCTACCAAGAATGGTGCACCTTTTTCTACGTCTTCTCCACTTCCCTTTGATGAAGTTTCAGATTCGGAGATCAGTGTTAGCTCAATAGTGTCCAGCGAAGTACTCTGTGAATCATCTTTGGCCCAATAGTGTACAGCGAAGTACTCTGTGAAGAGTCTGCAGCCATTGCATCCTTTTTCGAAGAGATTGGTATCCAACTGATACCAATCCCTAAGCATGAAGATTTTGTCATGGAATGTTCGAGGCCTCGGTAAGGATGACAAGAAATTTATGATGTAACTACTTATTAGAAATCTGTGCCCAAATGTCGTGTTTCTGCAAGAGACAAAACTTCAACAATGGAGCTCCAGAGGTATTGGTTGGTTGGCCATTGATTTTTTTGGGAAATCAGGAGGCATTTTGGTCATGTGGGATGAAACCAGAGTTTGCGTTAAGGATGTCATTAAGGGGGTCTTTTCCCTGATCATTTTGCTTTCTTTTTCTAATATTAATGACATCTGGTTAACAAATGTTTGTGGTCCAACAGATTGCAAAGAAAGGAAGCATTTTTTCACTGAGTTATGGGATCTTTATTCCCTTTGTGATGGCAGTTGGTGCATTGGCGGGGACTTCAATATCATCATATGGCCGTCAGAGAGATCTTTGGGCTTTTTGTCTCAAAAGGATGGGAGGCTGCCTTATCAAATTCCAGAGCTTCTCGTGCGGAAAGAATCACTTCCGATCATTTCACTATTCTTTTGGAGGCGGGGGATTTTAAATGGAGACCTAGTCCGTTTCGTTTTTTTGACTCTTGGTTAAGCAATAAGGACTGCATCAATCTTATCGAAGCCAAACTCGCCGAGGATAGATCATATGGGTGGGCCGGTTTTTATTCCAAATTTCTTCTCTAGATGTTAAGGAGGAAGATGTCGGTCCCTCCATTGAAGAATCTGAAAAAATGAGTACTCTACCAGCTGATTTGCTTCGATTGTATGTTGAAGAGGAAAGAAACTTGCTTCAGAAAATTAAAGTTAAATGGCTGAAAGAAGGGGATGAAAACACCAGTTTCTTTCATAGGTTTCTTGCCGCTCGAAGAAGGAAGGCACTGATTTCGGAATTGAGAAATGATCATGACACTTCCTTAATTAACCAATGGGACATTGAAGCAGAGATTATGTCCTTTTTTGAGAATCTTTATTCCAGTAGATTTGATTCTCATTTTTCCCTTAGAGGGATTAATTGGCACCCCATCTCACCAGCAGACAGCTTATGATTGGAGAGACATTTTGATGAAACAGAAGTTCGGTCCACGTTGAATGATCCTGGGAAGAATAAAGCCCCGGGCCTTGATCGGTTTACAACAGTTCCAAGAGTTTCATCGTAATGGCCATCTTAATACTTGTCTTGAGGAGAATTTTATTTGTCTATCACCAAAAAGGTGGCAGCTTCTAGAGTATATACCAATTAGCCTCTCAAATTCCATTTATAAAGCTGGCAGCCGTGGATAATGTTCTTCAATTGCTCCTTGGGTTGGATTTGTCTTCACAAGGTCGCATTCTATGGCTTAATGCTATTAAGGCTTTGCTTTACGAGCTATTGAAATCTTAGAATATTTTAGGAATGGCGCAAATCTTCATTTGATTGGCTTGGCTTAGCTAAATTTAAAGCCTCACCGTGGTTTTCTATGTCATCTCTCTTTGGAATTATTCTTCTTCCCTTATTTGTTCTAATTGCAGTGCTTTTTGCTATCATTTTTAGGCTTTTGCTGTTTGTTTATATTCCGTATTTTCCTTTAGAGAGTTTGTATTGTTGAACATTTAGGTTCCTTTTCATTATTTCAATTAGAAGTTTGTTTCTTGTTAGAAAAGAAAAAACATAAAAATAATTAAAAAAACAAAGTTTTAAGGTAAAAAATCTTGAGAGAATTACATCTGGTCTTAAAGGAAAGATTGATCATACATCCTTCCTCCACTCCCTCTTAACTAATTCAAATAGCAGAATTTAAATTTACTAAGATCTTGGAGCTCCATGTGAATCAAACACTGCAGACTAATAAATTTGAAGTTTTAAATTAACATTACCATAGTCCTCTCGAGGTCGCTGGCCATGGTCTCCCAAAACAGCTGTTACTAACTCCATTGATATGCACATGCGGTTACTCTAAAAGAAGAAAGGTAGCAAGATCGTTTGAGTGCTGCAAGGGGATGTGAAATGATCGAACAAATATAAACATATTCAAGATTCTCATAGCATTTCATTAAAAATGGACTGAGAGAAAACAAAAGGCCTACAAAAAGAAAAAGCCACTACTAAAGGAGCCAAACATAACACTTATTCTTTAGGACTCAATCCAAAAGAATGACACCTAATTGGTAATTACAAAAAAGCCTTAAGTCGCTGAAACCCAAGGAGAGGTATTAAATATAACTAGCTCTCAAACCTCCCCCAAAAGCTCTTGGCTCCTCTAAAAATTCTGTCATTCCTTTCAACCCAAATGCCCCACAAGATGGCAGAAAAAAAAAGCTTGCCATAACAGAAGCTCTCTATCTCGAAAAGGCGAGAACAACAGCACCTTCATTGACGAAACTGTACAATCCCTACGGCTCGCCCAAGAGACCCCAAAAACCTCTAGAAACCAATTCCAAATAAGCTAAGCAAACTGACAACTCCACAATATATGATTGAGATCTTTAGAAGCATTTTTGCAAAGGACACACCACTGAGGACCCAATAAGGCAACAACAAGGAAGAACGGTCCATGGTATTAACTGGTGATATGAAAGGAATCTCAGAATTTTTGAAGACAAGAGGCAATCTCCAGAGATGCGTTTTCAATATAGCTAAGTTCAAAATTTCTCAATGGGGTTCCTTATCTTCTATTTAGCTTGATATGTTCTAATTGGGGAGCTTTTATTGTACCTTTTTAATTTTTGTTATTTCTTATCTCGAAAGTCTTTCGAAAGTTTGTATCTTTGAACATTTCTCTTCTTTTTCATTATTTCAATGAGAAGTTAGTATCTTGTTAAAAAAAAAACAAGTGAAACCCAAAGACGAGTTTGGGGCCCAAGACCTAATGTATTTCCTCGCCTGTGCGAAACAGACATCCCTGTAGAAGCAAGCAAAGCAATAACCTATCACACATTCCCATCCGTCAAAGACCGATAGAGACCCAATGAAATGAAGGAGAATTTCCCCACCCTAAAACAGAGGCCACTAAATGCAACCTCATCCTACTGAAGAAAGGTGGACAAAGGGTCCCCTTCTTTAGATCCCTCGACGCCAGAATCTTACCCATTGGTCTCCCATTCACAAGGAGAGAAAGTTACATTTCTAACAAAACTCCAAATCCTCGCTCCCCACTTATACCAAAAGCCCTTCTTCCCTAGGACCTTATTTAAGAAAGATACCAATCCACGTAGTCAAAAGTTTTCTCAAAATCAATTTTGAAATGAGTGCCTTTGTTAATTTGAGAGTAAAAAATATACTCCTTGATTCAAACATGTAACTTAAGGTCTTCTTATATAGGAGAATGACCTACTACAAACAAGGAAAGTAATAAACACCATAAAGACTGAATATCAACAATAAAGACTAAATATTGACAACTAATATTGACACCTGATATTTACACAAATATTGATAAATCCAACACTCCCCTCAAGCTGGTTTGAAGATGTCGTCCATTGCCAGCTTGCTGATTAAATTGTCGAATTGTTTCTTTGGAAGTCCCTTGGTTAAAACATCGGCAATTTGCTCTGTTGTCGGAAGATAAGGGATACATATTGTACCTGCATCAATCTTCTCATTAATAAAATGTTTGTCAACCTCGATATGTTTGGTTCGGTCATGTAGCACTGGGTTATGAGCTATAGATATGACAGACTTATTGTCACAATAAATTCGTATAGGTGTCGGCTGAGGAATCTTCAATTCTTCAAGTATCATTTTGATCCATATACCTTCACAAATTCCATGAGCCAATGCTCTAAACTCTGTTTCAGCACTACTCCTGGCCACTACATTTTGCTCCTCCATGTAACTAGGTTTCCTCCAACAAAGGAACAGTAACCAGAAGTAGACCTTCTGTCGGTAGTACTTCCAGCCCAATCTGCATCAGTATAAACTTCTACTTGGAAGTGGTTATTCTTTTCGAATAAAATACCTTTTCCAGGAGTTCTCTTCAAATATCTCAAGATTCTATAGACAGCTTCAAAATGAGTTGGTCCAGGTGCATGCATGAATTGACTTACYATACTTACAGCAAATGCAATATCTGGTCGTGTATGTGACAGATAAATTAATCTTCCCACGAGTCTCTGGTATTGCTCTCTATCCTTTATTTCTTCTGCGTTTGCTGCTTGTAATTTCAAGTTAGGTTCAATAGGAGTTTCTGCGATCCTGCAACCAAGCAATCCTGTTTCTCCAAGTAAGTCAAGAACATATTTTCTTTGATTAACGAATATACCTTTCTTCGATCTTGCGAATTCCATTCCTAGAAAATATTTTAATGTTCCCAGGTTCTTGATTTGAAACTCACTTGCCAGATTTTTCTTGAGACCAGCTAGTCCTGCTTCATCATCACCAGTGAGAATAATATCATCTACATAGACAATCAGAATTGAGATTTTATTATTCTTAAAGTGTTTATAAAATATAGTATGGTCAGCTTGACTCTGGAGAAATCCATAACTCGATATGACTTTTCCAAATCGTTCGAACCAAGCTCTAGGAGACTGTTTGAGGCCATAGAGAGATTTCTTTAATCCGCAGATTTTATTCCAACCGAGTTCTTTTTCAAAACCTGGTGGCAAATCCATAAAAACTTCTTCCTCAAGGTTGCCATTGAGAAAAGCATATTTCACATCAAGCTGGTGGAGAGGCCAATTTGAATTAACTGCAAGAGACAAAAGAACTCTAATAGAGTTAATTTTTGCAACAGGAGCAAACGTTTCCTGATAATCTATCCCGTCGGTTTGTGTGAAGCCTTTAGCTACCAAGCTAGCCTTGTATCTCTCGATGCTACCATCTGCATTACATTTTACGGTAAATACCCATTTACATCCCACTGGTTTCTTATCCTTTGGCAATTCTACTATCTCCCAAGTACTGTTTTGCTTTAGAGTATTCATCTCCTCCATGATAGCTAGTTTCCAATTTGGATCTTCTAAAGCTTCATGTATATTCCTTGGAACAAAAAAATTAGTTATCCTAGATGTGAAGGTCTTATGACTATTTGATAGTTTTTCATATGAAATGTAGTTCGAAATAGGATATTTGGTACAACTTCGAACGCCTTTTCTAATGGCTATRGGAACATCAAGGTCAGARACAACAGGTGAATTATTTTGAAAATTTGAAGAAGAGRGATTACCAGACAATGTTGAAGAGGGAGGATTATCARAYAGTTCAGTTTWATTTCTCGGAGTCTCAGATTGGCTTTGTGAAGGAGTAACTATTTGATCTTGGTTYCTCTGATTGAATTTCCTTCTAGTATAAAACTTTAACTCAGAACTAGGATTCGCAAAATCRTTTTGTAGTATTTCTCCCCYTGATTGGACAGTTTCTATGCTTGGCATCGAAGGACTAGTAAAATCCAAACAGGTAGGACTAGGAAGGGGAACAGAAATATCCCAAAAATTATCTTCCAAATTCATTTTCTCCCCCTGAAGAGAATTTTGGGTAAAATATGGTTGATTTTCTAAGAAAGACACATTCATACTCACAAAAAAATTTTTTGTCTAAAGATCAAAACATTTGTAACCTTTTTGACCTAAAGCATAGCCTAAGAAAACACATTTAATAGCGAAGGGTCAAGTTTCGACCTGAAATGACTAGGTGTGTGAACGGAAGTAGTACACCCAAAAACTTTGAGAGGTAGATCAGAATATATGCGGGATGTTGGAAAAATATGGATCAGAATATATGCGGGATGTTGGAAAAATATTTTTAAATGACTCAATGGGAGTTTTGAAATTTAAAACTTTAGTATGCATCCTATTTATTAGGTAGGTCGCTGTGGATTTTTTTGACATTAAATAAACCCAAGACAGGCGAGTATGATCATCAATGAAAGTAATAAACCATCTTCTTCAACTATGAGTACTGATTTTAGAAGGACCCCAAACATCACTGTGAATTAAGTAAAATGGTTTGGAAGCTTTATAAGGTTTTGGAAAATATGTGGAGCGATGATTTTTTTGCTAAAAAACAACTTTCACAATTAAAAGATGAACAATCAATTCCCTTAAATAACTTTGGAAACAGATATTTTAAATAGAAAAAACTGGGATGTCCTAGTCTACGATGCCAAAGCATAATTTGTTCTCCAACAGAAAGAGAACTAATACTACTAAGACCCTGAGTTATTTTATTACTAAAGGTACCTCATTAAATTAGTAGAGACCATCAATCATCCTACTGCGGCCAATTATCCTCTCCGAGTTCTGATCCTAAAAAATACAATGAGATTCAAAGAAAGTAACACGACAGTTAGAATCTTTAGAAAGTTGGTTAACAGATAAAAGATTACATGCTAAGGACAGATTGTAACGAAATTGTCTCAGTCAATTTAATGGTTCCTTTTCCTGCAACAGAAGAAAAACTACCATCTGCAATTCTAACTTTTTCATTGGAATATGAAGGAAGGTATGATTCAAACAGATTAGAAGAACTTGTCATATGATCAGAAGCTCCAGAATCTATAATCCATGGAGATGAGTTACTACACGAGAAAGCCTTAGAATAAATACATGTTTATGTCAAGGATACACATGAGTTATTAGAAGGTAAATTGGAGGATAGCAATTTTAGGATTTGATGAATTTGCTCTATACTTGAGTCACCACGACTATCACCAA